TTCACAAGGATTGAGTTCAAGCATGTCCCTCGAGCTCAAAATGAGTTTGCCGATGCTTTGGCAACATTGTCCTCGATGTTTCAACACCCAGACAAGAATTATATCGACCCTATTGATATAAAGATACATGATCATCATGCATACTGCTTTCATGTAGATGAGGAACTGGATGGAAGGCCCTAGTACTATGGCATCAAAAGATTGATAGAAGCACAAAAATATCCTGAAAATTCTACAAGCAACCAGAAACAGTCTTTGAGGAGGATGGCCAATCATTTCTTCCTTAACGGAGAAATCCTGTATAGGAGAACTTCAGATTTAGGATTGCTGAGGTGCGTCGACGCCGCAGAAGCGACAAGGCTTTTGGAAGAAATACATGCAGGAACATGTGGACCACACATGAATATGTTCACTTTGGCAAAGATCGGATATTTTTGGATGACCATAGAGAGAGATAGCATCCGGTATGTGCAAAAATGTCATCATTGTCAAGTGCATGGAGATTTTATATGGGTTCCACCGAATGAGCTCAATGTGATGGGTTCCCCTTGGCCATTTGCTACTTAGGGAATGGATGTTATTGGACACATAGAGCCTCCTGCGTCAAATGTACATCTTTTCATCCTGGTGGCTATCGATTATTTCACAAAATGGGTCGAAGCTTCCACATACAAGGCAGTGACTAAGAAGGTAGTGGCAGACTTTGTTCGCAATAACATAGTTTGTCGGTTTGGAATTCCAGAATCAATTATAACAGATAATGCAGCCAACCTCAACAGCGATCTTATGAAGGAAACTTGTGAAAGGTTCAAGATTGCTCATCGAAATTCCATAGTTTACCGGCCACAGATGAATGGAGCAGTTGAGGCTGCAAATAAGAGTATCAAGAAGATTTCAAGGAAGATAGTAGACAGTCATAGGCAATGGCATGAGAAGCTACCATATGCTTTGCTCGATTATCGCACCACAATCAGTACATCAACTGGGGCAACTCCTTATATGTTGGTTTATGGTTCAGAAGCAGTAATACATGATGAGGTGGAAATACCATCTTTAAGGATCATCCAAGAGGTTGGTCTGGACGATGCAGAATGGATACGTAGCAGGCATGAACAGTTGATGCTCATCGATGAAAAGAGGATGGACGCGGTTTGTCATGGACAACTCTATCAGAACTGAATGACCAAAGCCTTCAACAAGAAAGTCAGACCTCGACAGTTCACACCGAGGTAGTTAGTATTGAAGAAGATCTTTTCTCACCAAGGAGAAGCCAAAGAGAAATTTGCACCAAATTGGCAAGGACCCTACATGATTTATAGAGTACTCTCAGGAGAAGCGGTAATCTTAGCAGAAATGGACGGCAGAGTGAGTACAAAGCCAATTAATTCAGACGCCATCAAGAAATACTACATCTAAAGACCTCAAGATTAGCGCTTATTTTGTGTACTTTTGCATTTTTCAATGTAACAGAACTACGTCTAGACTTGACTTCCCACGGTGGGGTACGCAGGCAACCCGTATCGGATCCGATCGCTCTTAGAAAACCCAAAATCATCATTTCCATGTATTTAGAACTATGCTCGACCTGAATTCCCTCAGTGGGATATGTAGGCAATCCTTGTCGGATTCGGTCCCTTTGTATTTATATTTTTCACTTTTCTTTTGTATTTGAACTACGTCCTGACCTGATTCCGCTTGGATACGTAGGCAGCCTGAGTCAGGCCCGGTCATTGCATTACATGTTCTTACAATGTGTTTCATATTTTTCACTTTCCTATTGTAATTCGAACTACGTTACGACCTGATTCCACTTGGATACGTAGGCAGCTTGAGTCAAGCTCGGTCATTGCATTTCATACTTCTACAGCTTGAGTCAAGCTCGGTCATTGCATTACATACTTCTATTTCTCCCACTTATATTCGAACTACATTATGATCTGATTCCTATTTTTGGGGATACGTAGGCAGCCTGAGTCAGGCTCGATCAATTCCCTGCATACCCTTAGGAAACATTCCTCATAGTTAGCGTACCCTCAGAATATTGAAGGATATCGATCGTCACAGTGACTTGCAAAAAAATCTAGGAAAGCTTCATCAGAAGGGTAAAAGCTACAGGAGGCCTACGTTGGATATAGTCAACAAAATGGAAAGCTCGATGGACTTTGGAACATGTCATAATCTAAAACGCTGGAGAATTACTATATATATACACCTAATATATACGTAGTATACTTATTTTCTAGAAAAACAAGCTAATTCTTTTCAAAATATTCTTTTTTTCTTTTCCACTCATCCACCTACCAAGTTTCTAGGTTAAGAAACTATGTGCGGTACCAACGAGGTGTCGAAGGATTCTAGTGACGAGGCTTCAGTCCACAAGTCGATACAAACCAACACCCCCTCCCAAACTAATATTTTCTTTGAGAGCAGGAACACAGGAATCAAGAAAATAACAAGGATTCTAGTGACGAGGCTTCATCCACTCCTCCATCATCCTTTTTCTGATGAAAAGACGCCACCTATGCCTGATCCCAACAACTCTAAAATCTGAAAAAAGTGACGTTGATTTGATCTGTAGCAATAGCTCTCTATTTTCCGGTGAATATTTTTGATTTCAAATTCATATTTTGAAACCGATTTTCGCCTATAAAAGGATGGCGTCTTCCCATCCAAAAAATCAGGGAACGACATCCGAAAATCAGCCAAGAACATATAAAAATCTCAAAAAAAAACACCCAACAACCATCCAGAAAACGGATAAGAACAACAATCCAGAAATCGGCAAGAAAAATCCAAACAAAATCGATCAAAAACCACAGAAAGAAAACGCAACAAGGGACATTAGCATTAGATCGTAAAATCATATTTCTGTCCTCTGTTTTTGATTTGTTTTGATTTGAGTTCGAAGTTGGATATCTTGACGTCAAAGCACTTAGTTTGCTGCTCTACACAAGGTTTGTAATCACACTTCTTTTCACATTTTGTTTTTTATTTTCAGAAATGAATATTATTGTTATTAAATAGTTGCTGGCCATTTATCTGGAATCTTTATGTTCTGTTACTCTATTTTTTGTGGAAGTTTATTCATACAAAAGGAAGAAAAGAATTCGTAAGAAGCATTTTCATTTAGAATGAATTATTGATCGATTCATGTAGACGTGTAGTAGTTGTTTCATGATAAGAATCTCATCAGCTCGAGTCGTTCATTTCTTGATTCATATCTTGTCATACTATGTTTAGATGTAGCGTCTCTTGATCTGATTTTTTCGGTTGTGTCGCAAAAAAAAAACTTGAAGTATGCCTCCAATTTCGTGGCAGAGGCCAAGTAATTTTTGATATGTTCTCTATGAATAATTGTTGTCTTTTTTCAGCTTTAAAAAATATATGTTATAAGAGAATGTTGTTTGGCCAAATGGTTGTTGTTTTAGCTAAGTTTTTGGGTTCTATTTGTGCTTAAGAAGTAATTTGAGTGTTCGAATTACAAGCGGTATATTGAGAAGTTATTATCGAAACATAGTTAGTTGTGTAAGCAAGTATTCATCTAATAAGACACTTTAATCTTCTCTAGTCATGAGTTGCTGGGCACCTTGTCTAACATTCATAACTTGTATTTTTTTTCGTTTCATACTGAGAACTTAGCTACTTATCTATGTTCTAAATTCCTAAAAAGTTGATGATATTCTCGTGTTTCCTCCCTAAGTATGCTCGCTTATTTGATTTCGATTGAATACGTATGCTTTAAGTTAGTTGAGGACAATTAGTTTACTAGATTAACTTAGTGTATCTAAAAATTGTGCAAAATATATAAAGTAAGCAATTCTAATAGCATTTGAAAGGTTTACACTAACTCATGGTTGCCAAGATAGTGAAAGAAAAACATTTTTACATGTCAAAATACCATTTTAACAAGTCTCTGATATCTTGTTTAATGTGGGTTTATATTTGTTTGCATACTCACATTACCGCACCGTTCAATTAGTTACTAATCTTTATCTCTTATTTCTTTTCTTATGTTTCATGTACAATCGGAGGGCTGGAGTTTCTACTTTGGAACTCGTTATTGCCCTAAAATATTAGGCCAACAATAATTAGGATCATCACAACGTTCGGAGTCTCGCAAATTAGGAGTCCAATATTTCTTAGCATTTCTATTTTCGAGTCTTAATTATATTGTTTAGATATGTTGGCTAACCTTTATTCTTAAGTTTTGATATATTGCTTGCCTTTTTATTTTTAAAGATTATTTATGTGAGCCAATATTATTGTTTGTGAATTTTTGTGGAAATACTTTTAGAACAAATGATACAAAAGAAATTTTCTTAAAAATGGGTTAGGATTTTCACTTATAACATTCTTTCAGGCCTTTTAAGTTGCAAGAGGGGCTTACAGTTTTAAAAGATTTCCAAACGAAGTTTCAAAAGGGTGAAATAATATTCATTTAGGTACTTAAGTAGGAAAAAATAAAACTCATGAATTGGGACTTCCAAATGAATTTAGAGATACAAAGGCTAAAATAATTAACTTTAAAATAATTAACTTGTGGATTTTTTTTTAAAAAAATGTAACTATAGAATAAGTCCTAATAGTTAGGCCTATTTTTATACTCTTTACATCACCCCTTATAAAATGTATTGACTATTCTTATTTTTCGAATCAAGCATTGTTAAAAATATTTTAATCTTGTAACACGCTATTTCAAATTTTATTTTATACTCTTTACATCACCCCTTATAAAATGTATTGACTATTCTTATTTTTCGAATCAAGCATTGTTAAAAATATTTTAATCTTGTAACACGCTATTTCAAATTTTATTTTATACTCTTTACATCACCACTTTATAAAGTATATTGACTATTCTTACTTTTTTGGATCAAACATTGCTAAAAACATTTTTATCTTTTAACATGCCATTTCACAATTTTAGATATGCCAACAGGTTCAAATACAAGGTACATACATATATATGTCATACATATAAGGGTATATATTCTATATTTTGTCCACATGACCTATTATTTTGTTATACCCTCCTACCACTTTTACAAATGTTACTTATTTATTCTTATAGAATTTATAAATTCCTACACTTGAATATACATATCATTTTACTACATCTCACTTTTACAAATGTTACTTATTTATTCTTATAGAATTTATAAATTCCTACACTTGAATATACATATCATTTTACTACATCTCACTTTTACAAATGTCAACTTATCTCTACATGTAATAGAATAATAAACATTCAAATGTTTTTTTTATATACATTATATTAAATATAATTTTAGATGACAAACTCTATCTAATATTTTAACATTTAGTATAATTATTATTTATTTATTTTACTTTATAGGAAATTCTATTTTATATATTTTCATTCAAATTACACATCACATATTACTACATATTTACCACCCAACTACTATCTTATTTTTCACGTCTTAATAAGACGACAGATTTTCGTAAATTCAACATCAATATATTTTTTAGGATAATTTTATTATGATACAACTATTTTTTTTTACATATGAATTTATTATACATTTAAGTGCATTTATTTATTTTTACAATATGATAAAATACTACTATTAAATCTATTTATAACACATATATATGTTGTACCCTGTATTTTACTTTTTTCTCAAACTAACTAATAAACTTATCATTTAATTATTAAAATTAAATAAATAAACAAGTTTTCCTAATCATATTTTTCTAAATTGAGTTTAAGGACTGTATTCGGATAGGCTCTGGGGGATGCTTAACACCTTCGCCTCGAATAACCAAAACCCTTACTCAGAATCTCACTGGTTTCGCAAAATCAAAACAGAGTCTACATTTACATATTTAAAAAATGATTTTCCTAATATTTTCCTTAAAATTTAGGTGGCGACTCTAAAACAAATTAATTTATTTTTTCAAAAAAAAAATAGAGTGGCAGCCGTATTATGTTGTGAACTGTTTCGGCTTGTTCGAAATAGGGTGCGACAGCTTGGCGACTCTGCTGGGGACCTTACTTAGGTTTTAACCTTAGAAAAACTCAATTTAGGAACAACATTTGTGATTACGTGTTTATTTTTTCGGCTTGCTATTGATATATTGCTTTGATTGAAAGGTCGCATGTGAAATCCAAGTTTGTGTTTCTTATTTGTTTTAAAACACTACTTGTTACT